AAAATTTTTATCGGTCCCTTAAACTTTTCGCTTGCAGTCTCAAAACCATTATGCCAAAGCAAAGGGGATGTTTTCAGTTTGAGATGATGCTACCCGGTTACATGACCGTTACTCTTTTTTTATATATATATTAAAAAAAAAGAAAAGAAAAGAGGAGCTCTTTGCAATGTCATTGGTGGCACTAACGAGTCTTCTTTTCTCCGTGTTGCGACTATTTTTTTTTATTTTTTTTATGTGCTCTAATTAAAGCCAGGAGCCATTTGGCACCAGCTGGCACTCTAATGATTATCACTCTAGGTCCGTTATTTTAAAAGAAAGTCAAAACTTTAAAAACGACAAAGCCCCCATGCTCCCTCCCAATTTAATTAAATAACACTTCCCTGTCTGCCGTTTGATCAATGATCATGCCATCATCTCAAAACAATCAGTTTTACAAGAACAATATAAATTTTCTTAACCACCAGGTCTTAAAATTCAACCTCTCTTTGATTGAGCCTAAACAAATTACTCGCATTGTATAATAAATAAATAAATAAGTGATTTCTTCTCAGATTTCTACTAAAAAATTGTAACTTGAAATGCACGAAAAACCTCATGGTATGTATTCAATTTGTGATTACTTAATATTTATAAATATAAAAATAAGATTAAAAAAAAAACATATTCGATCCCGTGAGGAAATAAAAAAAATCTTTTTTATTATTTTCCTCCTTTTTATCCCTCTATTTTATTAAAAAGTATTATAAATATTCAATAATTACAATATTCACGGTAAAATTCATGGGAAGACACACGTCCATTAAAGTTATCAAGAAAATCAATTTTAAGACAGTTATTTGATTTGACACTTCGGTCAAAGATTAGCTGTCTGAAACGGACGCTCACTTTTGAACTCTTGATGTTGTATAATACGATGAATTACAGCTTTTATTGTCTCCGTTCTCCATAAACTTAGATGCTGTTTAATGCTGGGTGTCAATTATTTTGTAAAATGTTTTTTATTTTAAAATATATTAAAATAATATTTTTATATTAAACCAATAAAAAATACAGAAAAAAATATTATTTAAAAAAAACGCTCAGCTATGGAAACAAACGGGATCCTGGTGTGGAAAAATAATGTAAATAATTAAGCAAACTAATTATTGATCAATTATCTGTATGTTTTTTTTTTCCGGCCGGGCAAGTTCATTAATTTAATGAAAAATCCTCCTCTGAAACACGGTTTGCAAAAAGTAGCCTTTTCAAACCCTCAATTCTACCGCCAAAACGCCACTGGCAAAGGAGGTTTCAAAAAACTATGCTATTATTTTCTACCTGGAAACATACCGGGTGGAGTAGAGCAGGCGAAATGGTGTTTTGTTTTTTTCAAGGGAGAGCCCTGAATCCAAAAAAGAGAGAGGAGATGTATATGGAAAGGATATAGTTTATTATTTGTATGTTGATTTTCAAGAGTATTCTTTATTTCAAAATATATTATGAATATTTTTTAAAAAATTTTATCAATACATCAAAACTATAAAAAATATTAATCTAATATATTTTTAAAAAACATTAAAAAAAATTTCCTCACTCCCACACAAGTTGCCAGTGTATCCAAAAAAAAAAAGGGTGTAATTTAGCTCATAGCAATAAAGAAAAAACTAAAAAGGGGCAAAGAACGGGATTTGCGCTGGGAGAAGTTTGCTATGGATATTTATAACTTGATCCAAACAAGTCAAAGGATGATCTTCTAGTGTGATGAGCATCGAGAAGGCAGATGATAATGTTGAATCCTTGAGGTGTCTGCTCATATCATTAGTATTTTTGCCTTTTGCATCATTATTTTTTCATTTCAGATTTGAAAACAATTGCATTTTATCGATTCCTTGATCTGACAAGTTATTTCAAATTTGAAAATTTATGATGATGAGTGAGTAAATGATTGCATCTTATCAATTTCTTTTTAAACCTATTTTTTTAAAAAAAATTATAAATAAATAAAATTATAAGTTAAGATATTTTTTCACTTTCGATGAATCATAAATTTTATTAATTCATTTATTTATAACCATCTTTTTATTTAAGAAAAAAAAATAAAGAAAGAAAAGGAAACAAACATTCCATTCAAAGTGAATCCCTTTAAACTACGATAAGTTTCTCTCGGATCCTAGCATGGTTCGAGATTGCAGTTGTCATGTGAGTATATAGTTGTCTTGCTATGTTGCTTGCCCTTGGAATTAGTTCCATATGAAGAGCTGGGTATTGTACGCTATCTGCACGACACCGTTTACAGGGAAAGTATTCCTCGCTCGAGCTGGTGCTCACAATGCCATTTATCAATCACATGGCAACCACGCACTGAGATGATTGGGCTTGGAATTATTGTAAGCAACTCGCTGTTCTGGAAGCTTGAGTTTTGTTTTAAACAACAACAATAACATGTTTCCCGGTTTTGTGGCTTTAAAATTACAATCGAAACCACCCACCGCGAGTAATTAAATTTATTTATTTAATAAATCGTATCTAGAATATAAATATTTTACAGCAACAAAAATAACTGCATTCACTGTGAAATAGTATGGATAAATTCAATGACGTATAAATCATTTATTAATCTGATCTAGGGTTTGGAGTATGATTGGAATTATTATAATTTTTATGGTTGTAGTTTTAAAAAAAATTATAAAAAATATTTTTGATTGAGATTGGTTTGATATTTATACATGTTTTGTTGAAACTGTGATTGAGATCAAGGTTTAATAAAAAATAATTTAATATATTTGGTTAGAAAAATACTTTTTAAATTGAGTTTATAAAATAACAAAAAATATATTTATAAATTAATATTGATAATTTTTAATTTAAATATAATAGATATTAACTAATGTCATTACATTATGAAATAAATAATACTTGTATAAAATATTTTTTATTATTTGAATAAAAAAGTAATTAAAACTAAAAATAAAAATTAAATTTTTTTTAAAAATAAATCAAAGCTAGTTCAGTGCATTTAGCTTTGGATCGAACTTGGTTCGGCTAGAATAGTAAAAATTAAAAAATAACTTTATTATTCACGTGAACAGTAGAGTTTCACTCTTTACTATTCACAAAATATGATAAAATAACTCTTAATTACTTTTCACAAATCTACAATTTAAACAAATCCTATACAGGTCACATATAAACAATAAAATATATTTTAATATTATCAAATATTTAAAATATATAATTTATTTTAAAAATAAAAATTGTAGAATAAACAAACAAACACTTAATAATGAACAGTTTGTCAGCGCACAAACTCTCCTTTGCATACAAGTAAAATTAGGGCTTGGCCTAGCGGTGGAAGGGGCTTGTCTCCTTCCACTGTACCTGGGTTCAAGCCCTAGCGTGCACGTCTGTCACCCCTGCGGTGCCTTACATGCCTATTGGGTTTGCAGGATATTCAGTAGGTCGTGGGGATTAGTCGTGGTGCACGCAAGCTGGCCCGAACACCCCACGTAAATCAAAAAAAAAAAAAATTATTTTTTTTAGTGCTTGAACTTCACTTGCTGAACTTTACATGTTAAAAGTAATTTTATTAATTAAAATAAAATTTCTTAAGCTCATTTTTTTCATAAATTTATATTATTAAATATTTAATTTTATTAATTAGAATGAATTGATAGCTACTCAGTCACTAAAATTTAAATATCATATGAAAAAATTATTTAAAACTTTTACGTGAAAAAAATATTAAAAAAATATAAATTATATATTAAAATTAAAATTAATAATTTAATTTTTTAAACTGAATTAAAAACATAAACCTCATTATACTTTAATAAAATTAATTAACAGCACAATTTATTTAATGATATATTCGATTGGTATAAATCCAAAAATTTTTTCTCAAAGGTGGTGAGAATTAAAAAAAGAAAAAAGAAAAAAGGACGAGCATGCCACCGCGCAGCTTGATGCTAGAAATGAGTAAAATTATATCTATGCCCAAGCCCAAGTAGTTAACAGCACATTTACAAGCCAATAGTAATTTAATCTTTTCAATAAAAACATGGAAATTCAAAATCCTGAAAAGCTGTTATGGACGCAAATCATACAAACCGACGTGGCAGCTATTATTTTATAATTTATTAAATATCTAATATTCCTGAAACCTACACGTAACCACTTATCACCTGTCATTAACATATCAGTTTATACGATTCTTTAATATAACTTTATTGTATATAAATAATTTTCCATGTCTAATTTTAAAATATCATGTATTTATGATACAGTTATCACATCTAGCCATCAATACTTCACATCCCCATGGCGCCCATGATAGTCAATTTCCTCAATTAAAAAAAAATGTAAAATGACCAAGCATTTGATAAATCGGTCCACGTGAAGGAAAAAAAAGGCACGTACTTATATATATATATATATATATATATATATTTCATACAAAGTATTATTACTAATTAAAATCTAAAATTGAAATTCAGTAAAATCTATGTGATCTGAAAATAAGACCCACGAGAAGCATGGGAATGAACTGAGACTTGATCCACAAAGGGAATTTGAGAGAATATAGAAAGTTTGAGTTACCATTCATAAATTGGCAAGACAGAAGGGCGCAGCTGCAAAAAGACACAGGAATGAAATGATATAGACCAGAATAGCCCTCTCTCCGAACTAAAGACTTAAGCACACTCTCTCTCTATCCCAAGCGGTGTTTGGTCTGCTTCCGCCCCCCCCCCCCCTCTCTCTGCGAGGTAATACCCGTTGCAGTGAGAGAGAAAGAGGGACTAAAATGGGTTGCTTTTCTTGTGCTGGAAAGTCCAGAAAAAATGCCAGTAACAAGAAGCCTGATGATCAGATCCCGTCATCTTCAGGTATTTCAATGAAAGACACCATAAAGCTTGAAAGTTTAGATTTTTTTTTTTGTCATATGCCCAGTATCATGTTAATATTTCTTGGACTGATTTTCATGCATTTTTGTTGCCATGAAAAATGATTTGAATTGATAAAAGGTACGCCGTTTGCGTAATTGTGTGAAGCAATCTTTAACGGGTTTGGAATAACGTATTGATCTGGATTGGTCACGGAGGATAAGATTTGAGATTGATGTTTGTCTGGGGAACATGTTTAGCTCTTGTTTAGACTAATGTGGTTTATTTCGAAGCCTAATCGAATGATAATGACTTTGTGGGCATGACGAGTTTCCATAATTACAAGTAGTGTAAACCAGCTTAAAATGATTGTTAGTATTACCGGGATCGATTCAGCAACGATTTACCTTAAACAGTTGCTCGTAGCGTCAAATTCAAATCAGGTAATCAATGAAGCTGAATTGTATTAATACCTCTTGCCTTTGCCACCTTGATTGTAAATTATGTATTAATTAAAGTTTTGTTGGATTTGTAATTTTCCGTGTTGGTTCAACCACTTATCCATGTTTTTATTTTATTTTGAAATCCCTAATTTTTAAGAAGTTAATCACACTTTTGTTTCATACTAATTGTAAAAGGTAGGTTAATTAACATTACAGTGGTTGTACAGGTGCATACTTTCTTCTTCTTCTTTTAATTCCTGTATGCTTGAATAAAAGGCAAGTTATCTTAATGTCAAGGTCGAATTTCCTTAAAAGAATTCAGCAGCATCCACTTAGTTCAGAAACTGTTTACAGATCCATTATGGTTGGATAACTGTTGTTGCATACGGAAGCAATGCGCAATACTTGTAATGGAGCTCAATCGTTTTCTTGTCTTGTATGACTGGGAAAATCCAAGCTCAGATCCTTCTTGAATGCCTGTTTTGTCTTTTGTGATTCTTCTTTTTCTTTCCAAACTCTTAATGACTTGATGAAATGTTATCAATTGTCAAAAATCCTTTATGTTTGCTGATGTAATAGTATGAACCATATCTTGCTCTTCTACATTCAATAAAAAAAAATCATATTGATCGCATTCCAGATAAAACAAAGTCAAATATGGCACTGGATGTGAAGAAGGCTTCTAAGGATGGAGGCTCTGAATACATTGCAGCACATACATTCACATTTCGCGAACTGGCAAATGCAACAAAGAACTTCAGGGCAGATTGTCTTTTGGGTGAAGGAGGTTTTGGCAGAGTATATAAAGGGAGATTGGAGAGTACCAATCAGGTTGGTTGAACTAATTGGATTCTAGCAGTCATGAAAAATTTTCCAGTTCTGCCAAAGCCAGTGTTATTTTATAGAAAATTCTTCAGAACATGTTTTTAAAAAAATAGTAGTAGTAGACAAAAGGCATTGAGAGTGTACATTTTAAGCAGTGGAAAAAAAAAATACCAAGGGCAAAGAACAAAAAAGGAGAAACAAGCACTGATACTGCTTAGAAGAGAAAGCAAACCATACCTGGCCACGACTGAAGTTGCAGCTTCACATGTTATTTTGAACTGCCTTGCGTCTCATGCCATGATCATTGTTGCCTGGAACGAATAACAGTTCTGCCTTGTCACTACTTTGTTCATGCCATGATGGTCACCTTACCCCACCAGTGTCCTGCTCCATTGTCACTTTGCCTGTATTATGATCAATCTCTAGCCGCTGTTGTCACCACCATCAGAACTCAAGTACCAGAACCTCACATTACAACCATTGCACAGGGCCCTCAATCACCCAGCAAATCCCCACATGTTCATCTATGTCCGCCTCCACCTCGCCACTGGATCTTGAAAGTCAAAACCTACATCAGAATCTCTGCTGCCCCTTCCACTAATCTAGGAGATCATTGTTGCAAGCTTATTAAAGGCATTCTAGGTAGCATGCATTGCTTCTTAATGTATACTTGGTCTCCACTGGTGGTTGTTTTTTTTTTTTCCAAAACATTTATCTATAATGTAAAGCAAACAGGAAGGTAACTGGAAATAAAAGCAACATCTACAGACAAGTTTTTCTTTGTAGACTTCATTTTTTTGGAAGGCATAAAAGTGCTCGAAGAAATATGGGAATTATAAGGTGCATGTTTCACCAAAAGGGAAAGTTTGTGAAGAACTCCCTGCAAAAGCATTGTGCTTTTAACTGGAGTAAAAGTTAAATATACTTATTTTCTGCTGTGCTTGTTCTTTGTTTAGCTCAAAATAATCTCCTAACTGTTGGCATTTAATCTCTTTTTAATGCATTAAGTTTTGACCGTTTGCAACAGGGTTGTGGTAAGACCTTAACCATGTCCTTTGGATTGTGTAGGTGGTAGCTATCAAGCAACTTGATCGTAATGGGCTGCAAGGGAATAGAGAGTTCCTTGTTGAAGTATTGATGTTGAGCCTCCTCCACCATCCAAATCTTGTTAACCTGATTGGCTATTGTGCTGATGGAGATCAGAGACTTTTGGTTTATGAGTACATGCCATTAGGATCTCTGGAAGACCATCTACATGGTATGGTGCCAAATCTTGATTTCTAGATAATTAGGCTGCAAAAAAGTTTAGGGTTTTTTTTGGTCCATTGCATATCCTGTTAAACAGTCAAATGAGATTGATGGCAGGTGGAGTGCAGAAACTACATGGTTGCAGCAAAGATTTCTGTTCTAGATTCACATTTCTTGTTTAATCACTGCAGTGGCTTGATATAGATTTCATGTAGCAAAGCTTCAGCAATTTTCCTTCTTATATGCTTATATTTCAGACCTGCCACCTGATAAGAAACGACTTGACTGGAACACAAGAATGAAAGTAGCTGCTGGTGCTGCAAAAGGCTTGGAGCATTTGCATGACAGTGCTAACCCCCCTGTTATATACCGTGATTTGAAATGCTCAAACATTTTACTTGGTGAAGGTTATCATCCCAAACTATCTGATTTTGGCTTGGCGAAATTGGGTCCTGTTGGTGACAAGACTCATGTATCCACAAGAGTGATGGGAACCTATGGATATTGTGCACCTGAATATGCAATGACAGGTCAGCTTACTCTGAAATCAGATGTTTATAGCTTTGGTGTTGTTCTTCTTGAGATTATTACTGGGAGGAAAGCTATTGATAATTCAAGAGCCGCTGGGGAGCATAACTTGGTTGCATGGGTAAGAAAGCTATCCATGTCTTCCTCCTGCACTTATACTCTCATCCTTCCTGTATAGATGCCTCAAATAAATACGTGGTGCAGCAACCATGAATCCATGTACCTTTGGTCTTCTTCTTCTTCTTATTATTATTATTATTATTATTATTATTATTTTGGTTTTTTGAGTCCAGGATTATATGACGAGAACTGCTGCTGATCCTTAGGTTTAGGGCCTAAACCATACCCCTACCCAAAACCAATATTTATACCCGTATTTTATCCATTATCCATAAGTAAGAAATTTGAATATGTATACTCTATGATATCCATTCCAATATTACTTACCCAAATACTATGTATTACTCAACATAAAATAAAAGGTAATATATACTTATAGTAATGGGGATATAATAAATATTATACATGTGTATAATGTTAATATTGGGGTATGTGTATATTATACTGAATTGAAAAACCGTAATTATTTACATTATATATATATATATATATATATATTTTTTGGGCCGGGTTTGATAATATCTATAACCTATCCTTCATCCATTTGGAAAGAATTTTAGATATCCATGTCTGATTCAAAATAGCAACTATCCATAAAAATTCTACCCATTTAGATGGGTGGATGTCCATCGAATTTGGATTAAATTGTTATCCCTAGGACCTATCCGCTTCACACAATAAACTTAGTCAGGGTTTCATATTTAGCTAGTCAGTATTATTTCTGCATTTCAGATTTGCTATGCTGTTGCTGTCACATCAGCTACTTAGGAACTGATCACCAAGAATACAAGTTCTTGTCATGAAGCTACTTAAGTGTATCCTAATCTAATTCGTCCCGTGTTGCAGGCACGACCGTTGTTTAAAGATCGGAGAAAATTTGCGCAGATGGCTGACCCATTACTCCAAGGCCACTATCCAATGAGGGGCTTGTATCAAGCTCTTGCTGTTGCTGCAATGTGTGTTCAAGAACAGCCTAATATGCGACCCCTTATAGCTGATGTAGTCACAGCACTTTCTTATCTTGCTTCCCAAAAGTATGATCCAGAGACCCAGCCAATCCAGGGCTCTCGCACAGGCCCTTCTACTCCTGGAACTAGAAGGGAATAATGAAGGTGGTAGAGTAGAGATTTAGCAGGAACAGTTGTCTAAGGATGGTTCAAACCTTGGAAACCAATTTTAGACTGCTATCTCCCTGCAAACCACAGGAACACAGGATGATTTACCCGAACAAATTTCTATCCATGATTCAGAGATCAGAGGATTAGATATGCAGCTGTTGGCTGCGTTTGCAATGGTTCTTGTTGATCAAAGTCTGCACCAGTCCAGGTGTAGCGGTACCAGACACAAATGCTGCAATAGAAAATTCTTGTTCCTCCTTTTTGTAAGTTCGTTTTGCCCTGAAGATTATCATTATTTTTTTCCAGTCTTCTACCCCTTACTTTACAAAATTTTTTCATGTCCAATTGAGCTTTGGGCCCTGTATCTAATTCTCATTCTTAATAGAAACTCGTGCAGCCTTGAGCAAAGGTCTGCTCTAGTTGCTTGGAATTGCTCCTTGCCTGTGTTTTTTTTGTACATACATCTTCCAGATTTGCCCAAAATCTTTGGATTTGATCCATCTCTCAGGGGTGCCTTCTATTGGATCTGGCACTTTGAACATGTGGTTTTGGAATATGGGCGTGACGGACTAACACGAGAATACAATATGTAAATCCAACCTAGCAAGGTTCTGGTCATATTTTTTTGGAGGAATTGGCTCACCCACCTGCCATAACTTGAGTTTTCCCGCTCTTCTTCTGAACACAAGCAATCCCCCATGCTATTCGGCTCTTTTTCCCTTAACTTCTTACTCTTATCAACTCCAGTGTTTAAAGCAAAGCATTTACTTTCATCTGTGTTCCTTCTCGATAACAAAACCGAAATCTAACTCCTAACCCTTTCTCTGGATGTCAGAACACCTCAGTCGTGAAATTGTCCTGAAACGAATGCTGAACCCTTACCCAACCTTCATCCATTTTCTGTCAATAGCCATGGGGATCTCTATATTTTATGAAGAACAAACAAAAGAAAGGGAACAAAGATATCTGGATCCAAAGTCTTGTATAGGACATTATCTGATGACATGGAACTGACGGGCGAGCTTATTTGGCCCGCCTTTTGAGTTTGTTTATTTATCAGTAAAACATGCTATACACTCGAGTAAACAAGGAATTTTCAGCTGAGCTCAAGAATGCTTTAAAAAATATTGCATAGTTGTAGCAACTGACACGTTTCCTTCATATTTCACCAAAACGAACTTAACTGCCAGCCAACCAATGTAAGATTTATACAATTGTTTCACTAATGATATCATGTTTCTTCTTACATTCTCTTCGCCTCTAAACTAATGTAGTTGTTTAATGAGCAAATAATTAATGGAAATGGGCTCTACAATGGCTGTAAAAACAAAGACAGAAACTAATCTACACCCAGCCGGAGAACTTGCATTCGCGCACAAAAAATATCTACCAACCCAACATGCAGGAGATTTCAAGATCTACCTATCATTATAGTAAATCTGCAATTCTCTATTCCTTGTCGTGTGCTGAAATGCCATTAGTTTCCTGCTCAACACTTGGATTCTGCACCTCATTCGAAGGCTTAACATCACTTGCATCCTCAACAGTAGCGGGTTTCCCCTGTTGAGTTCAATTTGAATCAGCACCGTTAACTTTTGTTTCATGAGAAAAAATAGCAATTTTAGTGAAAAACAGCCAACAGATGACTCTCACAAAATAAATACAAGGCCAGGCATTATGGTCCACAACACTAAAACACACAAAAAAGATGCTGGTAAGTAGCTCCACCAGGCAATATTTTAGCCATAGTAAAAAAAGACAGTTGAATCAAATACACAGACGGGGGTAAACCCTCTTGGGGGTATCACACCAGAGATCTAGGAGAGATATTGCAAGGGCTAGGCAACTAACTCTCCTTTTTACTCCACCATTTGACAAAGAAAACAAAGCAGAGTAACAAATAATCAGAATGACGGAGGGCATTCCCAAACATACACGTTATAATCCTATTTACCTGCACACTGCAATGTGTAGATGATGATTGCATTCATGAATTTAAGGGAGCAATAAAACAATGAAATTGAACCTTGTTTCTGTCACGCCATCCAAGTCCAAACGGCCGAGCCAGTAAACCAATCTTTCTCGCAGGTATATCTTGTGCAGGCTCTTGATTTCCACGTGTTTGTGAATCTAGATGTGAAGATCTACAGAGAAAATTTATGTTTCTTATAAGCACCAATATCATCCAAGTAGGTAAAATATGCATGTAAAACAGACATTACTTCATGCATGGAATAAGCCACATACAGTGCTGCTCATGAATGCATGCCAAAACCTGGGGATGAACAGGGAGATGATAAGATTCAAATAGAGCTTATTTGTCAGCATTGAAAAAGCACCTCTTTAGCATTCGGACAACCTGCTCATCCCATTATGTTCATTCCACCCCACTCCATTTTAGCATATACCCAACCAAAACCAGTGATAAATCTAAGTAAACATTACCCAATAGAATTCAACGAAGGGTGGAGGATTAAACCCTGTAAACAAGAAAACTAGGACAGCACAAAGGTATGAGAAACTTTTGGCACTAGTAAAATTGACTACACACCGTGGAGAAGGTTGTGCTTTAAGTTGACCAGATTGATACTGCAAGGTCGCCTCCAACATTGATTCTGCCATAACCATTCGTTTCTCCATTTCAGCAAGTGACGCAAGGGCCTGTTCATACTTTTCCTGCATATATATATAGTTGTTGGAGTGAATAGTGAAAGGAAGAGACAGAGAATGTCAAGATGAGAACAGATCAATTAAAGAGTAACATCAAGGGCTCTGCTGCGCTTCTTGGTGGAGAGGGAGCACAACTACTCAATAGGGCAAGGTATTATGGTAGAAAGGATACTCTCAATCATGTCAAGAGTGTTCTACATCTATTCCAACATATAGAAAGAGTGATGTTCCTACTTTTATGCAAAATTCTAACTTAAACCTTCATATTAAAGCACTACCTTCCAGAACTCAGGTAGAAACGGATTCATCACAAGTTTCTAATAGTTGGTACAACGATAAATTGATATAATTGCATTATTTATGAGTTCTAGCTCCAATGAACATAAATGAGTCAAGCATTGACTAGCATAATCGGTATGTTCGACCTGCAAAAATGCAGGTCAGGAACATCACACACATCATGTTAGAACTGTTAAAGACTTTTATTTGAATGCAAATTACATATAAAATATGAAATTAAAGAATAGAGCAAGAAATTATAAACCTGAAGCACTTGAGCAGCAAATCTCTGTGCTGACGCATCTTGCTCAGCATATATGCGAGCATCTTCAGTTAGCTTTTGCTCTTGTTCCACCCGCATTAAGACCTACATAAGTTGAAAGTGAGCTAGTATCAAGAAAAGAACAATCCAAGATTAGAGAGAAGAGAAGATGCAATCTTCCCAAAATGAACTGATTGACCGCAAAGCAAAAAATAACCTGCAGCATGGCATTTTCTTGCTCCTGCTTATCAGCAAGAGCCCTCCGCAGCTCAGAAACTTCTTGGTCTAACTGTTCAACCTGGAGATCATCAGAAGATCAGAATGTGATACAACATATAATCAATCCGGCTTAATAATTGATAACTGCATATTGCATAAAATTGCAGCCTAATGTCCAATCCAACACTAACCACTGCAAGATCATAATTTACCCTATTGCTGCCATCATTCATGGGGAATAGGCATAAAATGAAGCAGATTCTAACTACAATGTGAAATCGCTTGAGAAGGGAACTAAAAATAACGCAGAGTAACTGTGGATTTTGTGTAATTTCAATTCCCTGGGCCTTGCAAGAAGATCAACCATTTCTCATTTAAAGAAGAAGAAAGTCTGGACATACCCTAGCACTCAATTGCCGCCGATTATCCTGCTTGACCATCTCCATCAAAGCTGTCTCCAACTCCTCAGCTCTAACAAAGAATTGGAATTAACAGAATTAAATGCAATATTATTGGAAAACAATTTGACTACTTACACAGTGACTCTACATCAAATTCTGCAGGCGAGGACTACAGAAATTGTTTTTTCTCAGAAGACTGCCACTGAGAGAATAATTTTGTTATTACTGTTGTTTCCAAAAGAGACTGCCACTTGAAGACAAAAATGTAGCATTTTTCACTCTGCCAGAGACATGGTGCCCATACAAAACTCAGCTTTTTTTTTTCTTAGTTGGAATGAAAAACTCACCTATTCTAAAGCTTTGCGCTATTTATTTGGGAATGTTTAAAAGATCTAGTCTTGTGCGAACTGAGAATTCCATCCACACAAAAGCTATATTTTGGAGATCAAAATAGCTAGTTGATAGTCACAAAGCATGTGCTAGCTTTGAACTAGTGGGATAGTTATGACGCAAGCGCTAGCTTTGAACCTGAGTCCTATGTTCAGACCCTGAGCTCACTCTATGCAAGATTCTCCTGCATAGCTCATAAATTATAACGTTTCAGAAAAGCAGCCAATTTAATATAACATATGTAACAGCAGTTTTTCACCTACCCTAGCCAACCCTCATGTATCCTCGTACCAACTTAGCCAATAGACTTGCTATTCTCTCTTACCCGTGAAATGCACATTGAAGAGTGAAGGTGAATCAATGTATCACTTTCGTTACAATCACTAAACAAATATTGCAATGGACGGAATAGTGCAATTATTTCTTAATAGTATAGCACTCAGCAGCCAAAATGGTACTAAGTCACTCAACAGAAAGGCACATTAGCACAATTGAATTGGAACAGTGCTAACCTGAGTACAATAGATCTTTTCTCCTCTAGCAACTTGCACAGTTCATCCTTCAACCACACTACCTGCATGTAATTCATATATTAGTAATCAAAGAAGCAGCATGACAATAGAACTGCACTTCACAATCTAAAATTTAAAGACTAGATCACCTAAACTTGTATTAATGTCATTAAAGAATGGAATATAAATTCCAAGTTTCATGATGGTTGCCATGAACAAGATAACAAAGGGGATTGCAAAATAAACCTAGAATAAAAACCCAACCCAGTCCCATCCGTAAATGAAAACATTTGATAATGAAGCAACTGCACCTACAAGTTTAGCATATATCAGCATGTCAATGTCCAGTTTGAACTTATCTGGTTGGAAGCATAATGTTTTAAAATACAACAAATTGGTTCAAATCAGCTCTGATCAAGAACCTCTAGATCAACAATACACATTTCCCTCCCCGGTAGTTTCTCCAGGGGTTACATTTCAATAGAGGAGTCAAATATTGCTCCAAAAGTCTATATGCCAGTGTTTACATAATTATCTTCCAGCACATCATTCCAATCAGAGCAAAGCCCACTCCATTCCAAGAACAATTTTTGCAATCAAGGTCAAGCTGGTGTAACTAAAAGACTTTAGTAGTCTCTTATGAAATCAAACTTCTCTGCTGACAGAGTGCTTCGTTGATTCAAAAGTTATGTCCTTCC